GAATAGAAAGCCCAGAATAAACTCTTGGATGCACACACAGTCAACCAATCTTCAACAAAGGTACCAAGAATACACAGTGGTACTGGGAAAACTGAATATCCATATCCAAAAAAATTGAAGTTGGATCATTATCTTGTACCATACATAAAAATCAACTCAAAATAGATTAAAGACCTGAAACCGTAAACTCCTGGAAGAAAACATAAGGGAAATGGTCTTTGACATTGGTATTGGCAATGATTTTTTTGTATATATGACAGTAAAAGCACAGGCAACGAAAGCAAAAGTAAAGAAATAGAACTAGACTATCCAACTAAAAAGCTTCTGCAAAGCAAAGAAAACAATCAACAAAATGGAAAGGCAGCCTATGGAATGGGAGACAGTATCTGTAAACTATATATCTGGTAAGAGATTGATTTCCAGAATATACAACTCAAAAAAAAATAAAATAAAATAACCCAATTTAAAAATGGGCAAAGGATCTGAATAGACATTTCTCCAAAGAAGACATGCAAATGGCCAACAGGTATGAAAGGTGCTCGACATCACCAATCATCAGGAAATGCACATCAAAACCACCGCATGCCTGGCAGGATGGTTGGTATCAAAGAGTCAAAAGAGAACGAGTGTTAGAGAGGGCGTGAAGAAAAGTCGGCCCCTACACACCGTGGGTAGGAATATAAATCAGTGCAGCCTTTATGGAGAGTCCTCAACATGGAGGGTCCTCAAAAACTCAACGGTAGAACTGGCATACAAGGCAGCAATCTCACTACTGGCTACACATCCAAAGGAACTGAAATTAGCATCTCGAAGAGATACTTGCATGTATGTCCATGTTCACTGCAGCATTATTCACAATAGGCAATGCACAATGTGCATTCCTAATGCAGCCCAAATTCAGCTCCATATTGCCCCATGGCTTTCTGCCTCGATGTACCCTTCCTGGGTCCACCCACCCACCTGTCTCCTCCACTGTGCTAGGTCAAGAACTGGCCTTTCTCAGCTTTACAGTCTCCCTGAGCACTCAGCTCCAAAGAGACACCCAATATCGTAGTCAAACCACAGGAAACGATGCAACAAATGAGGCTGCTCTGTGTGCTCACCCTTGTCAGGAGGTTCAGAACGAACATTAAAAGCATCCGTGGTCTCCATGCGCCTGCCTTGGCTTTTGAGAATGAGCAGAAGAGGGCGGCGCTGATGAGAAGGCGTGAGGGCAGAGCTAACCGCTGAGGGGGACAGACCGTGGAGGCGACAGCGTGTGGGCGTCCACGTCCACGTGGCATGAGGGGTCTGCCACCACATGCGCACGGAGCCCGAACATCATTCCTCCAAAAAACCCCCGATGAAATGACATCACGGAAATGAATTTGCGACCATCTAGAATAGCGGAGGTATCTACGTCCTAACGCTGAAATACAAAGTCCTCTATGCAAGAAAATAGAGGGATGCCCATTTTATCACTGTCTAAATTTTATAATAAGTTCAATAACAAAATAAGCCGGGTGCGGTGGCTCATGCCTGTAATCCTAACACTCTGGGAGGCCGAGGCAGGCGGATTGCTCAAGGTCAGGAGTTCAACAGCCGCCTTGAGCCGCGCGAGACCCATCTCTACTATACAACCCATCAGACCGCATGAATTCGGCCCACTAATCCGATAGTATATAGCAAAATTAGCCAGGCTGGTGGCGCACGCCTGTAGGTCCCACGCTACCCTCGGGAGGCGCTGGAGGCAGGCGGATCGCTTCAGCCCTAGGAGATTGCGGTTGCTGTGCGCTAGGCTGATGTCACGCACTCACTCTATGCCTGGCGCAACCAGCTGAGACTTTTCTTTTCCTGTCCAAAAAAAAAAAAAAAAAAAATAAGTAACACAATTTATCTACGCAATGTCCAACTTTATAACGAAGTACTACGCTCAACCTGAGTACAAGCTAATAAGCCCTTTGCATTTCTAAGGTAACCCAAGAACTGCATGCAGCGGGCAAGCCCTCCCTCCACCCTTTCTCTCGATGAGCAAAGCACTAAGGGTCGGGCCCACCTGGCAGCCTCTGCTCCACCGCTGGCCCCAGCAAGCCTGCGGCTCCAATGCTGGCCCAGAAGGGCTCGCTGGTGTCTCTCCAGGGCCACCAGGAGCTGGGGCCCAGCGCGCCTTCACTTCATCCCGTCTCTCCCGCGCGCCGCTCCGTGACACACGCGTGGACCGAACCTCGCTCGCACCTCGAAGCGCTCGGCTCATATTCCGCATCTTCTCGCTTCTAGTCTCGCCGCGTGGCCTCGCCTTATCTCCGCCCTCCGGGCGGGGGCGCGCGCGCGCGCTCCGTCGTCGGTTTCCCGCTGCAAGAGCGCGCGCTCTCTATCATAGAAAGCTTCCTTGACCTACACTATATCCACCTTCAGCACGGCGTCGGTGGCGCCTCGCCCTGCTCCGTCCTATGCGTACTTGGAAGGGTGAGGCGACAGAGGATCGCTTGAGCCCAGGAGTTTGAGGTTGCCTGTGAGCTAGGCTGACGCGGGCACTCTCTCGCCTGGGCCCATCTGAGACTCTGACTCAAAACAAAAAAAATAGTTCCACTTCTATCAACTTATTCTAAAGAAACATTCTTTATGTTTGTACAGATATGTTGTACAGATATGTTCTGTACAGAGATATGTACAGAAAATACAAGTACAAAAGTATCTTACACATCAAGGAGAAAAAGAATGCAAAAGGTTAAAAAAAAAACAGAAAAATACATCTCAAAAAAAGAAATATAAATTACTTTTAGGCACATGAAAAAAATGGTCCGAGCTCATTCATAATAAGAGAGAAACAAGAGAAGACCGCACTGAGGCAGCATTTTATTAACACCCAGACCAGCGACCGAGTCGGGAGGGCGTGAGTAGCGGGCATTCCGTGCACTGCCTCTCAGAGACGACACGACTCAGCCCTCTAGGAGAGCAAATTGGCAACATCTACCAAAATTTTAAATGCATGCACATTTTGATGTAGCACAAAATGCACATTTTGATGTAGCAGTTACACAGCTAGAAATTTACGTCCACATAAAAAATGACGTATATGCAAGGTGATTCACTGCAGCAAGCACCCAGGAGAGTGTAAATCCCCGGTAAATCAGGATAAATCGATGCTATGGAAGACCAGTCATATGTCAAAGAATGAGGAAAACCTTGCTTGTCCTCATACAGAGTCATCTCCGAGACACAGTAAGTGAAAAGAGCAAAATGCAAAACTATGCACGTATTACGTAATTATTTGTACAAAAGGGAGGAGGAATCGAGTATAAATGTGCTTGCCCATTCACAAAATGTCTCTGTAAAGATAAATTAAACATTAACAACAGTTGTGGGGGTGTCGGAAGGGACAGGAAGGAGACTTTTCACTGTAAATGCCTTTTTGTACATTTCGAACTTTGAAGTATGAGACTATTTCATTTTTTAATTAGTCTTTGATGATTAAAGGGAAATAAGGAAGTAAAAGTCAGTGCTTGGGGTTGATGGAGGGTGACAGAATGTTCCAGATCATGATTGCGACGAGCGTTTCACAAGTGTATGCAGCTGTCAAGACTGAGGGCAATGTACACTTCAAAAAGGAATGTCCATAAATGACACCTCGAAAAGGTAAAAAAAAGAAAACAGTGCATGGGCTTAAATATATACACTCAATTATCTTCATTTGTGTTGTTATAATTTTCTTTTTTAACTGGAAACAACTTAACTCCCCAATGTTACAAGATTGGTTGGGGGATTGGAGGATCGGCTAGATACATTGTACTACACATTCTCATAGAATGATGTGTAAATATTGAGACAGCATTTCTACAATTTTAATGACTTCATAAAAAATTTTAAAGCAGTAAAAATAAGTACATCCTGGCTGGATGCAGTGGCTCACGCCTGTAATCCCAGCACTCTGGGAGGCGGAGGCGGGAGGATCGCTTGAGCTCAGGAGTTCGAGACCAGCCTGAGCAAGAGTGAGACCTCGTCTCTACTAAATATAGGAAAAATTAGCTGGATGTGGTATCATGTGCCTGTAGTCCCAGCTACTCTGGAGGCTGAGGCAGGAGGATCGCTTGAGCTCGGAGTTTCAGGTTGCAGTGAGCTATGATGACACCACTGCACTCCAGCCCGAGCAACACAGCAAGGCACTGTCTCAAAAAAAAAAAAAATATATGTTCTAAAGATAATAACCACCATTTATTGAACATTTACTGTGTAGCTACTTTGCATATATGATCTAGTTCCTTTGCCTGTATGATCTACTTCCTTTATGTGTGTAATATAGTTCCTTTTACATGTATAATTAGCTCCTTTGCATGTATGATCTAGTTCCTTTGCATGTATAATATAGTTCCTTTATGTGTATAATAGAGTTCCTTTTACATGTATAATTAACTCCTTTGCATGTACAATCTAGTTCTTTTGCATGTATGATCTAGTTCCTTTACATGTGTGATCTGGCTCCTTTGCATGTATAATATAGTCCTTTGCATGTATGATCTAGTTCCTTTACATGTATGATCTGGCTCCTTTGCATGTATAATCTAGTTCCTTTATATGTATGACCTAGTTCCTATAAGCCTCAGCACAATCCCCTGAGAACCCTACCGTGTCACTCACGAGGAAATAAGTTCAAGGTGACCCGGACCCGTTAGCCGCCCGGCCCTTTGCCAGGCCGCCACAGATGAGTCTCCTGAACGCGCTCAGTGCCCACGAGGGATGCCGAACGCTGTCGTTTCCATTTTGCAGAGGAGGCTTAGAGGGGCCGAGGACGCCACTCAGTGTCCGGCACTTCATTCCCTGGGGCCCCACAGGCCGGCCCCTGGGAGCACTGTGGGAAGAGCACTCTCCCATACCGCCCCCTAGCCTCACCGCCTGGCTCCCCGAGACCCAGAGGTGGCACCTCCCTCCGGAGCGGCCACCCTTCACCCTGGCCCGTCGTGGGGAAGCCGAGCACCGCCGTGGCCTCCCCGCAGGGCTTGGGTGGCGGCCAGGGCGGCAGGTACCTTTTTCTCCCGTGGGGCCGACTCTCCCTGGCCGTCCTGGGGCGCCTTTGTCTCCCTTCTCTCCTGCGTCCCCTGCGGAAGAAGTCACACCGGTTAGCAGCTCCGCACCCCGCCTGACACGCGGAGAATGACAGCCAGAGGGGGCCCCACCTCCCCGGCCTCCGCAGCCACCAGGGCACCCAGTCTCCGGCCCTGGGACCCCAGTCCTCTCGGGGACCCCCTCCTTGCCCCACTGTCCCCCTGGCGGGGGTGTCTGTCCCTCTGGGGTGGCTGCCAGCCCGTCCCCCGCACAAGACGCCCCAAGACCACTCTGGCTGCGGCCCCCACACGCCCTGATGCCCTGATGCGGTTTGGGTGTTTGTCCCCCAGTCTCCCCCAGTATTGAAGCTTAATCCCGTGTTGGAGGTGGGGCCTGGGGGGGTGCTGGGTCACGGGGTGGCCCTCGCCTGACAGCCCGGTGCCTCCTTGTCCTCGCAGTGGGGGGGGGGCTCTCTCAGTTCCCATGAGAGCTGGCTGGGAAAAACAGCCCGGTGTCTCCTCCCTCTGAGGCTCCCCTCCCACCAGGTGACACCCCTGCTGCCCTTCACCTTCTGCCTCCACTGGAGGCCCCATGGAGCCCTCCCCAGAAGCCAGAGCTGCTGCAGAGCATGTGCCGCCCATGCCACCACGAGCCAACGGGCCCTCCTTTCTTTGTCAGTCACCCACCTGCGGGGTTGCTTACTAGCCACACAGAAGGACTAATGCACACCCATAAAACCTCTAAAACACAAATGGGATTGCGCTCTTCCTCTTCTCAACAGACATTTAAGTCCAGGTGCGGTGCGGCTCATGCCTGTAGCCCTAGTACTTTGGGAGGCTGAGGCGGGAGGATCACTTGAGGTCAGGAGTTTGAGAGCTGCCTGAGCAAGAGCAAGACCCCGTCTCTACAAACAATAGGATAATTAGCTGGACAAGGTCGTGGTGCATGCCTGTAGTCCCAGCTACTCGGGCAGGCTGGGCAGGAGGTGCGGTTGAGCCAGGAGATTGAGGTTGCTGTGAGCTAGGCTGACGCCACGGCACTCACTCTAGCCTGGGCAACAGAGTGAGACTCTGTCTCAAAAAAAAAAGAAATACGCCCTGGAAAACTCCACACTGGCGTTGGCCCCAGCCAGAGGGGAAGGGGTGAGCGGGGAGAGCAGGCTGCGCACACCCTCCAGGCGAGGCCCAGCCTGGCCACGAGAGCCGCTGGCAAGGAGCGCCCTCTGGGGGGGGGGGGTGGAGGGCCCCGTGGCCACAGGGCTGGCCTGGCTGCACTCTGTGGAGTCCCACGTCACCACCGGCCGGCTGAACAGATTCCAAGCTCCGTTGTGGGCGCCCGTCGGGAAGACTGCGCAGGACTCCCCGACAGATCTGCGCTTCCGGAGCCGCCGCTGCGCTTGGGGAGGGGGCGGGGCCTCTCCGGTTGGCCCTTGGGACGACCCGTGTGCTGCCCATGCCAAGCACCTCACAGTCACGCAGGGACACTGCCAGCCAGCACACGCGTGGAGAACATGCTTAAGGACCCACCGTGATGGAACACATTTCATGCAAAAAAAAAAAAAATTCTCTTCTTCTTGGTAGTTCTGAAGATGACATTTTTCCCTCCATGGGGTCAAAAAGTACCTAAGTATATGATTGCAAGTGAAAAATAGAGGACAGAAATCAGACCTTGGCAGTTTTCGTCTATGTGTGAATTGTTAATATAGATGCAGGATGTAAAACATTAATGCGAGTCAGAGACATTTCCTTGAACAAATCTTAGCACTTCGACTTCACAAAAATTATAAAGAAACCTGTTAAATTTTTCTGGACATTGCCAGCACTTGGATTTTTTTTTTTTTAACAAGTACATTTCTTATTGACGACAACTGAACAGCAGCACGTTCGTCACATGGCAGACTCCATCCACTCACTGCGCTTTTCTAACCGGGCCGTCCTACATGCAACGTGCAAGCACATGTCTTTAATTCTGTCTTCTTCTGTGCCGTTCCTGTGAGTGTGCTGTTAAAATGTGTCAAACTATTTTTCAGAAAGCTACTTTGATCTCCGGTCCTGGGGCGCAGCACGGAAGTCCACGGGGACCCTCGCACGGCAGGGCTGCGCCCGGCCCTGGGCTTCCCTCCCTGCGTCCTCCCGGGGAACAACCTGCACACGTGGGCTCCTCGGAGCAAAGGCTGCCTCCCAGCGCTGCACACGGCTGGCGGAGTTCGAGTGTCTGTCACACACCAGTCCCAGGGGTCATAAAGACACACGGCCCTGCTGGCCATGACTCCGAAACAGGATTTCTGTAAACCTCTCCTCTCAAAAATTGCATGCGTTTGTTCTATGACACACCCCCAGGGAGCACCGTGGGGTTTTCCCTCCCTCCTCCCCTCTATCAGGTGTTGGTTTGGGGCTGACCTGCCCATGAAGTTCTGCTGCCAAGTTCTCTCTCTGCCAGGGGAGGCTAACAGTCCAGCCGTCTGCCCCGTTCTCCGACATCCTTAACCACGCTGCTTTCTCCGCTCTCAAAGGAATAAAGAGAGTGTGGCCAGTGTCTACTACTTACTCGCTTTGCCTTCCTGCAAGTCATGCATGAATCTATGAACTAAATGCTGTTGTCCAGATGGCACCTGGGGTCATTGTCAACTCTACCAGGTAGACACATGTCAGTTAGCTTCACGCAGACAATGAGATACTTTGACAGATCTGCAGCCCGTGGAGGAAGAGCCACGGACGTTCCTGGATAGTCCTTCCACCTGCTTCTGCATGGGCACAAGCAATGTCTGCTGGGACCTCCTCCCTACTCGGCCACAGCCAGTGCCGCAGCTCCCCAGGGCCAGGGAGGGAAGAGCCGGGGACCTGCCCAGCAGGTTTGTCCTGCAGAAGAGGAGACGGCCGGCTGGGAGGGGCCAGGTCTGGGGGCAGAAGTGCAAACCTCCCACGGGGGCATTCACGGCCATTACTAGCTTTATCAACCTTGTTTTAAGGAATGACAGTTAACGATTTTTACTTACTTTGATAAAACCTCTGACCTTTCAGACTTCTGAGCAGCAGGCTTGCTAATATATATAAATGTTTTCCCACCTACAGTCAGTTTTTTAGACCATTAAGGAAAGGCCATTTTTTCCCCAACAAAAGGAGTTGTCGTTCTCTGTAAATGCAAAGGTGATGTGTCATTATTAGGCCCTGACATGGCAAATACGTGTGCTCTCAGGCAGCAGCTGTCCACGGGCCGCTGGGAGTATGTGGTGCGGAAGATTCTGCAGCCACATTTGGACCCAGCAGAAGTCCCGGGACCCTGAGGACAAGCAAGGGGTGTGGGGTCAGGGGGACTTGCAGGCCAGAAGCTGCCCCCCCAAGGGCTGGGCTGACGCTGAGACTCCCTCTGAGGACATGGGAGATGGCTTCTCCACCCCAGCTCCAGGCCTGACCCTGTGTAAACACCCAATAAATGTGCATCCAGTGACCGGTGACCATTCATGTGCCTATCTCCCCACAAAAGCAGAAACGTTATTGCATTTGTATTTTTTGTTCCATCGATGATTGCAATTCCTGACACATGAACATCAGGTATAGTGAATCCTTTTATTTATTAATTTATTTTTGAGACAGAGTCTCATTTTGTTGCCCAGGCTAGAGTGCCATGGCGTCAGCCTAGCTCACACCAACCGCAAACTCCCAGTCTCAAGCAATCCTATTGCCTCAGCCTCCCAAGTAGCTGGGACTACAGGCATGTGCCACCATGCCCGGCTAATTTTTTCTATATATTTTTAGTTGGCCAATTAATTTCTTTCTATTTTTAGTAGAGACGGATCTCACTATTGCTCAGGCTGGTCTCAAACTCTTGACCTTGCGCAATCCTCCCACCTAGGCCTCCCAGAGTGCTAGGATTACAGGCGTGAGCCCCCCGTGCCAGGCCGAAATTCTTAATATTGAAACAAGAGTCCCACAAATTACGTAGCTGGTCCTGCTTGGGAATCACAGTGTCTGGGGACCTCTTCCCTGCACTTTGCGGAAACAGGTGGTTTTCCTGGATGGAGGCTCCACACGGGGCCTTGGCCATGGCAGCCTCACACCTGCCCATGCCGCTGTGTTCGCCCACCTGATCTGCACACACACCTGTCTGGAAGTCGACTGTAGACAAAGCAGCAAGGAAAAAAATTTCTTTCATTTATAAAATAAAGAATTATGGCCGGGCGCAGTGGCTCACACCTGTAATCCTAGCACTCTGGTAGCTGAGGCGGGGAGGATTGCTCTAGGTCCGGAGTTCGAGACCAGCCTGAGCAAGAGCGAGATCCCGTCTCTACTATAAATAGAAAGAAATTAATTGACCAACTAAAAATATATAGGAAAAAAATTAGCCGGGCATGGTGGTGCCTGCCTGTAGTCCCAGCTACTTGGGAGGCTGAGGCAGGAGGATTGCCTGAGCCCAGGAGTTTGAGTTTGCTGTGAACGAGGCTGACGCCACGGCACTCAGTCTAGCCTGGGCAACAAAGTGAGACTCTGTCTCAAAAATATATATATCAAGAGCTCTCGAGCACAGTGCAAGAGCCCATGGGGGTCCCCAGGCCAACTGCTACACTTCTCTGACCCTCAAAGCCCTTGTCTGTAAAACGGGCCACACGAGAGCATCTCGTGCCGGGATCCCGAGGGCCCGCGTGGGCAGTGCCCGGAGCAGATGTCGGGGCCTCCGACGGGTCCCTGTGCACGGGGCCGGGGTGCAGACAGCTGCCTTTGGGGTTACACAAGTCCGCGGCTCATGGAGGTTTAGACTTCACGCAGCCCAAGCCTCGATCTTACAGACGGGGAGGCCGAGGCCGGACAGGGTGAGCACAGTTGCCCGCAGCGGTCTCAGTGCTTTCCCGCTGAGCCGCCCGGAGGCTGCTGGCCGGGCCTGGGGTCAAGGGGCAGCACCGGTTACCTTTGAGGCCGGGGACGAGGATCTGCACGGAGCAGGCGTCGTCCGCAGTCTGCTGGGGCCGTCCGGGCGGCAGCAGCGACAGGAAGGCCAGGCCCAGGAGAGCACCCGCGAGCGCCAGGTCCCCCTTCATCCTGCGCGGGCAGGCGCTGGCTCCTGCTGGAAGGAAGGCATGCACAGTGGCGGGAATCCAGGCAGGAGCCCGTGATGGTGAACTGGCCCTGCACACGGGTCCCCCTGCCTGGGGCCTGGGCGGGGGTCTGGGGCCTCCTCTGGGCAGCATGCCGGCAGCCCCTGCCAGGCACGGGCGGGGCAGTGGGCACCGGTAGAGGCTGCCGTGCGCCCCCCATGGCCCTGTCTGACCTTCAGAGCGGCCCATCCCAACAGAGTGGAGGGGACTGTGCAGGGGCAGCCGGAGGACACAGGCTCAGTGCCTCCTGCAGGGCCCAGCAGGGGGGGTGGGGTAACGTGCCAGGGAAAGGCCCAGCGGCCAGTGGCGCCCAAGTTTAAGGGTTCCCCGGTGGAGCAGGAGGGCGAGAGCCCAGGGGACCCGGCTCCTGGCTTGTGACTGTCGCAGGAGGGCCAGTATTTGCTGCCCCCTTTGTCTCTTCAGCAGGGGCATTAAAACTCCGGAAACCGGCCGGGCGCAGTGGCTCATGCCTGTAATCCTAGCACTCTGGGAGGCTGAGGCGGGTGGATCGCCACCCAGAAGCACCTAGGCCTCATCCGGGGCCTCACTTCTCTTCCCGCTGCACCCAGCGTGCTGCGCTCCTCACTCACGCACGTAGCGTCTGCAGGTGCCGACCCGCCAGGCACAATTCTGGGCACTATCAGTAGAGGCGGTTGGAGGAGACAGACAGACAGACAGGGGGATGGGAGCCCTGGGGAAGAGCTAGGTGGGCAAGGAGGCAGGGGATACCCGCCACTGGGGGTCGCGTGTGCAGGGGAGACCCATGGGTGTAAAAACCCTGAGGCCACAGGCTTGGGCCGGGAGAGGAGCTGCCCGGGCAGGAGGAAGCAGAGCCCTGGGGCAGCAGAGGGCAGTGCTGTCCCTGGCTGGCCCCCTGGTGACAGCTCTGGGTTGCTCTGAATGACAGGGGTCTGGGTTGGGGGGATGGCTTCATGAAAGGGCACCTGGCTATTTTGAGACTGGACTTTGGGGACGGGGATGGACGCCAGGAGACCGCGCAGGGGTGAGTGGCCAGCAGGTGAAGGTGGGGAACGAGGCTAGGTCTGGGACAGCCCGGGGAGCAGAGCTGACGGGCTCCTCTGATGGGCTGGGTGGGAAGCAAGAGGCGCCGGCAGAGGTCACAGCTGTTGTCCTGAGCACCCCGGCGGGCGGAGCAGCTGGCTACAGAGGAAGCGAGGTGGGGAGGCAGGACGGTGGACTGAGAGTGGGGTTGGCTGAGTCTGAGACGCTGTCAGCCTCCTAAGCGGGCGCCTGGCCGGGGGACGGAGCACTGGTTCGATTTGCAAGGCCGGGGGGCCGCAGCGCCTGCGTTCTCTCTGTCTGTCCCAGGCCAGCCCTGCCAGCCCAAAGTGAGGGTCGCCTTAGCTGCAGGAGAAAGGCCGCCCGGAGCAGCGGGATTCTCACTTCAACAGCCCGCGGAGCCCTCATGCGTTCACTTCCTCGCACAAAAGCCAGGGGAGGATGGTGGGACAGGCCCCTCAGGCCAAGGTCCCACCCCGTCTTCAGACTCTGTGGCCCCCGAGTCTGCAGAGACCCCGTCTCTGGCTGGCGCCGGCCCCCCGTTAGGAGCCGAGCTCCCTGCTGCTCGAGGAATCCTCCCAGAAACATGTGGAAGGTCAAGACGCCCAAGGACACCTGCTGCCACCCGCCGTGGATGCCAGTTGCCAAGGCAGCTACGTCTTGGGATCGGCAGGACCCGTCCCTGCAGCGTGAAGGAAAGTCGTCGAAATCCTCCTCCCAACCCTGAAAAAAATCCCCGCTATGGTGATAGCAGAAAAGATTGCGGGGAGGTGGTTTGCCCATGTCACAGCGTGGACACTAAATGTGCATCGTCCACGAACGCTAAGGAGAAGGTTAAGGGAGGGACGCGGAGGCGAGGGAGGGAGGGAGAGGCCAGAGCAAGAGCTCCAGCACCCACGGGGCCTGCAGAGCTCCCCCCCCCCGCGGCACTTCACTTTGTCACAGCCTGGCGGGCGGGAGGTGGAGCCGCCTCCCGTCCCTCCCTCGTGTCCAGGCTCGGAAGAAAGAGACTTGGAAGCTCAAAGACAGGGACAGAAAGCCGATGGATGATGCCTGCCCCTTGCTGAGCCTGCCAGTCTCGGAGGTGCCTGCTCTCCCAGGGTCCAGTTCAAGTCCGGCTCCCGCTCCGCCCCGCCCTCCAGAGGGAGGGAGTGGGGTGGCGGGTAGTGGGGGGTTCACAGGGGCCAGGTTAATTAAGGAGATGCGCACTCCCCCTTTCAGCCCCTTTCAGCCCTTGGTGTCAAAAGCCGTGAGGAATCAGAGGGCTTAGGGGTGAGGGCAGGAAAAGATTAAATGGGGGGAACAAAGAGGGGGCCCTACTGCGTTTCTGCTTTTCATAAGAGAAACACACTCGGACTGAAAGAGACGGCAGAGGGTCAACACCAGCAGTGGGAGAGAACCGGGGAGGAAGGTGGGCTCGTCCCGCCGAGCAGGGGTGAGGGGGCCTGTCTCGCTCCTGTCTGGTACCCCAGAGAGGGCCACCACGCTGAACCTGAACTGGGAGCTGGCTATGCCCCGGCGGCATTCCAAACGGCATTCCTACCCATGCACATATCCTTGAACCGTATGCGTCCTGTTTTGCTTGTTTTTTAGCTGTATAAAACGTCACGTTGTTAAGGCCGGGCACGGTGGCTCACGCCTGTAATCCTAGCACTCTGGGAGGCCGAGGCGGGCAGATTGCTCGAGGTCGGGAGTTAGAAACCAGCCTGAGCAAGAGCGAGACCCCGTCTCTACTAAAAATAGAAAGAAATTAATTGACCAACTAAAAAATATATATACAAAAAATTAGCCGGGGAAGGTGGTGCATGCCTGTAGTCCCAGCCACTCGGGAGGCTGAGGCAGGAGGATCGCTCGAGCCCAGGAGTTTGAGGCTGCTGTGAGCTAGGCTGATGCCACGGCACTCACTCTAGCCTGGGCAACAGAGTGAGACTCTGTCTCAAAAAAAAAAAGTCACGTTGTGCGCAGTCCTCTGCGTCTGTCTTCCTACTTAACCTGGGGCTCCGATTCACCCACGCTGCCGTGCAGTCGTAGCTCAGCCGTGATCCGATCACGTTAACGCAGGGCACGCACGCCAGTCGCCGGCGGTGCCGGGAGGGTGGAAGGACACGGCTGGCCGTGTGACCTGCGGGAGCAGCCAGGGCGTCCTCGCCTCCTCAGCCGTCGTCTGCACGTGGAGACCCACCACATGGGACTTTGACATCCCAGTGGCACATGTTAAGGGACAGCTACGAGTCTGGCCGTGCCTTTGGCCAAACCGCGTGCCCTGCGCCAGCCTGTCTCCTCATCGCAGGTGGAGAGAAGAACCCCGTAAGTGTGTCCTGGGGAAGAGCGTTGGAAATGCCCGGGAAGCCCGTCATGCACGGCCTGGCACGTGGCAGCTACCCATACCCAGCGACCACATGTGGGCTCCAGACGAGGCCGGAATCCCAGCCCCTCCACGAGGACGGCGGTCCCCGCACGGCACCTCGCTGCAGCCAGCTGCTCCACGGGGAAACCGACCCCCTTCGGGGCCGTCCTGCAGCCGGCGTCACCAGGCACCGAGTGGGGGCCTGGCTTCCTTCCGCAGAACTGACCCTGCCAGCACAGGGATGCCGCCGTCTGCCAAGCTGCAGAAAATAACCCGCACGACACTCCAGAGACGAGCACGGCACTCCCACGGCCAGACGAGAAAGACGGAGCGATTGCACCAGCTGGTAGGCGGAGGGATGGGCTGAGGCCGGGGCTTCCTGTCACCATGGGTTCCTTTCTTCGTCCTGCCCAGCGGGGGGCTCCCCACGCACAGAAGGGAGACCCGCCTTCCTCCTTGAGTCTTGATGGGACTAGGCTTTGTGTGGGGTGGAGAGAAAAGGTTTGACGCATACTGCACCCCACGCGTCTAACTTAATCCCCAGAACAACCTCGTGAACTGCTGTGATTCCTCGTGTCGAAGACCGCAAGCACACGGGGCACGGCACGGTGGGCAGTCGGCCCCAAACGCCCGGCAGGGACATGCCCTGCCGCCAGCGCTCTCCACGCCGGGGCTGCCCCTGGCCACGCGGCGGCCGAGCTCGCAGGAGCTCCGCCAGAACAAGGAAATGCAGAAGAGGGCGTGAATTTGCCCGCAACCCAGGCCCTGCAAGCTGACTTCACTCCTCTCACCCGTGTGCCCTTCAGGCCTGGGTCCACGTGCGACACTTTCGTGACGGGTAAAGACCCCCCACCGCAGGCACTCAGGGCCTGGAGTTGGGCAGGCGCTGAGTGAACAAATGAATGGGTGAACAAATGAATGAGTGAATGAATGAATGAGTGAACGAACGAGAGCTCACAGATGCGCCGCACAGAGAACTCTATGCTGTCCGCCTCCTGGCGTGGATTTCCCACATGTCTGGAATCCTCATCGTACCTATGTCCACGCGGTTTCCCAGGGCCACGCTTCAGTCTCCGGGCCTGCGCCGTCCCGTGGGGCCTGCAGTCCTGTTGTCACTCTGCTGTCGTGGCCCCGGCTTCCCGACGATGTGGTGAGAAGGGCCCCCCGCAGGCTGCGGCCGGACCCGCTATTCCACGGCTCTCCCCCACCGCGCGCCCGGCTGCTGCGGGTTTTCGGTTCTTCCTGGCGTGCAGCCGCCGAAGCACGAAGAAACCCTGACCCCTCCCGCCTGTGCCGAGGCTGACACGTGCTTCTTGATGTTTGCTAGAGGCAAACTGGGCTCAGATCTTGTGAAATGTCTCAGGTGTCAAGAGCTGAGGTGGGGCCTTCCTCCCCAGTCAGAAGTGACTGACTCCGTCCGGAGATGCCCAGGCGTCCTGCAGGACTCGTGTTGCTCTCGCTCTGCAGACGTCCTGACAGTGGCTTCAGAAGGGATCAGCTGCCCCCGCCCGGGAAGGCAGGCAGCAAGAGGAGAAACCGGAATAAACCAATGCTGGGACTTCGCAGGCCCTCACTCGCTCGCTGACCCACCTGCCCATCCGAGAATTTCCTGCCTACCTTCATCGACAGGCCCCGCCCCGGCCGTGGACCTGTGGACGCAGGTGCGGCTCAGGCCCTGCCCTCCGCGCTCGCAGGCTCGGTGGGTCCAGCCGGCAGAAAGGGGCAGTGGGCGCGGGAGGAGGCGCCTCTCCCCAGGCGCCAGCTCTGCAACTGCTTCTGAGAAGAGGAATTTCGTTTTGTAAACAGAGAAGCCCCGGCTACCCCTGGGGCTCCTTAAAAACAACATCTTTATCTCCCAGCGGGGCCAGGACGTTAGGGCACTCCCGTCAGTGAAGGAGGCTGGCTTTGCAGGCAGGGAAAGGGATCCAGTGTGGAATCCTTAGAAGAAATGCATTATAAGAATGAAACAGACAACGGGGAAAGAAACGTGACTGCAGTTGCCAAACGTGCAGGTCGTCGTTCTCGTTAGGCGTCCACAGCAGGGCCAGCACCTCCCAGACACCCTCACTATCTACCGAGAACCCGTCCCTGGGGGCATTTGGGAGGCTTGTTCTGCCGCATACTGGTCCCCACCCCACCAACCCCTGTCCCCCACCGTTCTGCTTCTCAGGGTGACAAGGTGACAAGGTGCCTCCCGGGGCAGCGAGGGTTTCCACCCAGGACACACACGTTCTTCTCGGCCTCTCACCGAGACCACGAGCAAGAAGAGACTTCTTCACTGGTCTGCGCTCGGCTGGGCGCAGAGACTCTCCAACATTGCAGGCGAAATCGAACAGCCGCGCAAGTGAGGGGCGCTGCTCCGCCTACCGCCAGGCCAGGCGTTCCCCATCACATTCACAACCCAGGCAGGCACATGCGATGGCTTTAAAACGTCACCGTTTACATTTGGAGCTGCCACACCACTTGAGCTCTAAGGAGACGGCCAGTGCCTGCAGCTAGGCTGCCACGGCGGGAGGTGGCCGCCCCGTGGAACGCTGCTCTCTTCCAGTCCCGCGAGCCGAGGCGACCCCACTCGCACCAGATGCCCCACCTGCACTCGGACCGTCCCTCCTTGGAAGTGGCCACCGCGAGCGCCCCTCCGCCTCCCACCTGGTCCCCGTCACTGAGCCCGACCGAGCTTCCGGCCACCGCGCAGAGTGACGGCTGTCGCCACCCGGCCCCTCAGCTAGACGCCGCTCCAGGTTCTGGGACCGGACCGGATCGCACTGTGGTTTGGAATTAGGACTGCTGCTCCCTCCGGGCTCTTTGACTTCCGTGCAACCCAAGTGGGCGTGACCCGGTCACCCGGTAACTCTGAGCCACCCAATCTGTCCCCATAACCTCCACGGAGGTCTCCCATGAACTACTGAACTAATCAAACTGTGGGGTTCTGGTGCCTGGTGTATTAAAGCTCCATCATCTTCTGCCAGGACTGAGAACGAATTCCCACCTCCCCACCCAGCCCAGTCCCTACCTGGGTCCCCGCTAGGAATCTCGCCTTCTGTGCGCTGTCGAGCACCCAGCCTGGGTTCTGCGCTCCGGGCAGCGACTCCCACCCGAGCACACGCTAGGCGCAGGTGCGTCCTGACCGCCGCTGGCCCTCGAGGACACTGCGCCCGGGAGCCTCATGCCTGCTATTTAGGGACGCGGCCACGGTCCAAGCGCAGAGGGAAGCTCGGCCTGGGCTGTCGGACGGCCGGCCTAGCGAATCAGGCTGGACTGGACGGCTGCGGTGTTATCTGCAAGCAGCTTCCTGTTTGAAATACATCAGCTGTCCCGCGGAGCGGGGGGTGGGGAGAGTGTGGGAACGTCAGCGATGCCAGGCTGGGGGGCAGGGCGGGCCCTCCTGCAGGGGCCCCTGCTAACTCTCCAACCCCAACACCCCGATCCTGTCTCAAAAAGCCTTTCTTTCCTAGTTGTTGTTTTTTTTTTTAATAAGCATGAGTATTGTGGAAATTCAGGAATTTATAAAGAAGGGTGGTCACAATCGCCTGGCATCACGTCAGACAGAAATAAATGCAGCTGATGTATTTCCATTCCTCTTCTTCCATATGGGATTTTGCTTCCCAAGGCAGTAAGTGCTTGACCAGTGTTTGTGGGGACCCGGCCCACAGGTGGGACCCAAAAGCCACTCACTCATTTAAGTTTCATTTGAAGGAAAAACACATCAGAAGTGAGTCTTTGTGGGGGCTGGATGGATCCGGTTTCTGTGCAGCCCAAACCTTGCATGTTTTAGGGGGTGGGGGGGCCTTCTAAGAAAAAGATACATATAAAATTATCATCATAAAAAGCTAGGTTCAAAGGTGAATATTTATTGAGAGTGAAAAATCATAACAAACTTAAAATGTAAACACAAATTACAAATCACAAAATCTATGAAAAAGAATGGATTTATTTAAAACATATTAAAGTTATACATAAATTTGACAACTTAGACAACTCCCAGCACTTTGGGAGGCCAAGGCAGGAGGATCACTTGAGGCTAGGAGTTCAAGACCAGCCTGGGCAACACAGCTAGATCCCGTCTCTAAAAAAAAAAAGACCCTGTTAATAAGATGCAAAGACAAGTCCCAGGATGGGATAAAGTATTTGCAAATCACACATCTGGCAAAGGACGAACTCTCAAAACTTAACAGTAAAATAACAGTCTAATTAGACAAAAGCCAAAAACAAGAACAGGCCTCTCACCAAAGAAGATACACGGATGGCAAGTAAGAAATGAAAGATGCTCCACATCGTTGCCACTAGAGGTTATAGGTCATAGCTATAGGTTAATTTTTAAAAAGCTGCCTGACAGCCCTTGTAAGTCTTTTTTACTGTATTATTTGGCTGCGTATTTTTCTATTGCCTCCTACCATGCAAACAAGTTTCTACAGAGAGAAAAGAAGGTCATTCAGTAACTTACATGGTTACTTAAATTTTTTATCCCTGGTAGCTTCAAAAACATTTATTCCAGCTCCACAAGCCTTTACTGATAATGCCACGTTCGTCTTTGGATGGTTGTCAAATTAGGGGAAACCTCTAGGCGTTTTCTTTCATATATGAGGGACACGACTTCAGGCATCGCGAGCTCCGGTTTGTTTTGTGCAGAGAGTGACCGTGGTCTTGGACGCGGCCACACCACCCGCCAGTTTGTGACTGAGGGCCTCCTCTTACAGGGAGGCCACTGGGAACCACCTAACACCCAACTGAAACCCCAAATATGGGATCCCGACTCACTTCAGCGTGCTCTCCCCACCCCAGGCTCGGGGGACATTGGTAACAGTCACAACTGGGGATGGCGCTGGCTCCTAGAGGGTGGCGGTCAGGGATGCCACCAAACATCCTAGGCCATGCAAATGCCCCACCACACAGCGATCCGGCCCCAGCGCCCACGGGGCCCAGCGCCACTCAGCAGGGCTGGGTGGAGGGACCGGGCAGCAGGGCCTGGAGGGACGGGGCTGCAGGGCCAGGTGGAGGTACCAGGCTGCGGGGCCGGGTGGAGGGACCGGGCTGCAGGGCCGGGTGGAGGGACCGGGCTGCAGGGCCAGGTGGAGGTACCAGGCTGCGGGGCCGGGTGGAGGGACCGGGCTGCGGGGCCGGGTGGAGGGACCGGGCT